TATATTATATATTATTATAAAACAACAACAACAACATAATAATAATAATAATAATATAAAAATAAGCCATGGCTGGGAGTTGGTCCACACATCTTAAGGTTCCTGAAGTTGAGAAACACTGCTCTACAGGATGGCTATAATAGCCAGCAAAGAAACTTTTGCTTCTGGCTGATTTTTGAGTTTTCAACCCAAGTAAAACTGTAGGAATCTAAGTCTACATTTGTACCTACATTTCCACAGATCTCTTATGCAGATAAGATGCACAAGCTACAGGACAGTTGTCTCCCATGGCCCTCTTCTTCATGAATTCCATTTTTTTCCCAACAGTTTTAATCATAAATCCAACCTAATTCAGGATCTGTATTTCAAGGTCTGGTTAAAAGGAACTTGGGGCTTAGAAGGAAACACAATCCTCTACTCCCCTCATAATCACTTAATAGTAGTTAAGAAATTGAGAAGCAATGTTTGCATTCATCCGTGGTATACAGGCAGCCTGAGCTAGTCATAAGCGCTTTTCAAGTGTATAAAACAATTCAAGTAATAACAGAAAAAATCTGTGGTGGCTGCATGCAAACTGAAGGAAAAGTGCCAGCAGAAGAAAAAAGACCAGGCTGATTACTCTCTGATCCCAGCAGCCTGCCATGGTCCAAACCAGGTAAGTATTTACTCCTCTTTAGGAAAGCCAAAAGATCTACTAAGGCCTATAGAGTATTTTTGAATCTGGGGTAAATAAGGCCTCTTTGTTTATACAGAAGTGTCTTACAGTCACAGAAAGAGCTTTTGTGTGGCTTCCACAGATTTATGTTTAGTTACATACGGAAAACATTTTTTTCTCATCTCTCATTCTCTTTGAACATAAACCACAGTTTCCAGTAAGGAGCTATTGAAGCATCATGTTGCACAATCCACAATCAAGTAATCATAGACTAAATATATTCTGCTGTTCCACAAGCAGTCACTGGCATAGGAACTGGATCCCATTCTGAGAGGAAAGATACTGAAATAATCTACTGCCTGTTCAGAATAAAAAGTCCTAGTACCCTCAAGCCAAAAACACTAGGATATTCCTATGTTCCTAGGGCAAGTGGACAAGTACATTTCATCTAAGAAATTAAATTCAAGTATTTAAATCCAGATTGATTTATCCATGGTTAAATTTATGAAACACACAGCAGGAAATCTGACAGACAATATAGTAGCTTGAGTGACTTCACTTCCATTTTGTAAATACCTAGTTCCAGAGTAGTAATATAATCATATTATGCTAGAGCTGCTTGTTAGCAGGAACTGTTTTCTTTTCACTGCTACAAAAGGAACCCTGAATGTTAAAATATCATGGAAGCCAACCCAGATTCAAACACCCATGATTGGACATATAACAATTTGTGCTCTGTCAGGTCACTCCAATTGCTGTCAACACCCTTATCTGAAATGACGCAATATATAAATACAGTGAAGTGCTCCACCGAAAACAACTTCTACTTCAGAATTAAATAGGAACAGGATGACCTACTTCATTCTTACACTCCCAGATTTATAACTATCTGTTTAGGGATATTTGCATATACATCTTACTTTTAAAACCATGATTTGGGGAATGAACACCCAAATGACAAGCTAGCACTGGAATCCCCAGCATTTTCCAGGATACATTACCATACCTTTTTGAAGCCCTCTTGAATCATCTGCTATGGCTCACCTTCATTTTCCCACCAGGTTAAGCACCAGGAAAATAGACAATTGGATATACAGTTTGATAAATTAAGCTGTAGCTAAAAACTTTAGAGACAAACTAATGAGTCTGCTAAGGGCACCTGCAAAACCTTATTCACAATGGTGACTGCTGCTGCTCTACATCAACAAAAGGCTACGAGCGGAGTGTCTTTTAACTTTGATAGGAAAGGAAATGGGTATACAAATGCATGAACTGTTTTCCAAAGATGATGCCCAGGATATAAACTTGCCAAGTGCAGGATAAGAAATACATATTAGGTGTGAACTCCCTAAGTACAAAAAATTTAAGAGAAACTCTAAAAACTGAGAAACCTCAAAAAAATCAGAAGAGGACTGAGTATACTTAATGGCTACAGACTGGGGGGAGAATGGAATAACATATTCTGCAAGAAGGCATCTTGAACTAAAACATTCCATACCACAACATCATGTGCCATCTAAAGTTCAGAAATCAGAAAACTACAGGTAATCTTTGTTTAGCAACCACAACTGGGACTGGCAACTCAGTCATTAAGCGAAGCAGTTGCGATGTGAAACAGTGACCATGCTTATGATCTTACTTCAGCTTTCCTTTGCTTTACAGACCTGCGAAGATCATAAATGTGAGGACTGGTTGCAAAGTTATTTTTTCATCACCATCGTCACTGCCTCGTTTATTGACCGTTCTCAGTGACGATGGTGATGAAAAAATAACTTTGCAACCAAACCTCACATTTATGGCCTTTGCAGGTCTGTAAAGCAAAGGAAAGCTGAAGTAAGATTGTATTAATTTTTATATTGCGGTATAAATGAGGACTACCTATATTGCATCATTCTGACAATCCAAAATAGCGCCATTTAAAGTATGATTTTTAATTATGTCAAATTATGAAGAACTTCTAAGACCCCCAAATTATATTCTCATTCTTGTTTAAGTTCTGTGTTCACTGAAGATGACAATGTACATTTCTACAATGTTAAAAATGCTTAGAACAATTCAGAGAGAATAAAAACAGGTTTATACCCACAATATAAAAAAACGCTACCACTCATCTTTTATGCATTATAGTTGTCACTCTAAGCCCACCAATTAGAAAGTTTCAATAACAAAAATCCATAAATACTGCTGCTACTGATGATTAAAATGTGTCTGCAACCCTCTAATAGCTACACAAAGCAAGATGCCATTCTGAGTTCTACTTACACCGGCCTTCCCCAACGTGGTGCTTTCCAGATACACTGAGTCAGCAACTTACAGAGTAGCCATTATAAAAGAGTATAAATTCAGACTTAGCCATGAATCTCACAGGATGCTATAAGCTAGCAACTATCATAGTTTAAACCTACTTCTCAGGTTTCATAGAAAAATAAAATAGGGCAGGCTGGATTACACATTATATTAAATCATAAGACATGATATGCAAACCCACACAAAAGGCCTGCTGGCAGGCTACTGAACAACACCACTGCCTCTTCTTAATACATGACAATCATTAGGATAAATTTTGCTTCCTACATGGGACTGTAGAATCAGGGTGAATATTAGATAACAGTTGGCAGGAAATGTTCAATAGGTCAGTAACTGCTTTATATTTGGAGGATGATGTTTTCAAAGATTACAGTAAAACTCAATTTTGTGGACTTCCATTCAGCTGCCTTCAGATGCAACAGAAATAATTTTGGACTTCACCCCCAAATAACAGACAAAGTCCATTGTTTCCAAATCAAGACAACAGATGGAATTTATGCTATGCAAATGAAGTCAAATAGTGGAAATGATGTAAACTACATAACTCTGTAAATGATATAGGTTGATGCAAATGATGCCAATCATGTAAATTCAAATTTAATGAACATTTGGCTTTAAGAGAATCTCTGTTAAAAACTGAGGTTTACTGTATCCTCTGGCTATTTACAACTCTGAACCTCAATAAATATCACAGATACCAAAACTGTAACTGGAGTAACCGTTTTCCCATCAGAGTTGCTGTTTGTACATCAACACCTTTTTCCAAATCAGCTTCAGCAGGCATATAGAACAGTAACCTTATTTGTATTTTGCAAACAGCATTCATCATCTGTCCTTTCTAGTGATGTGTTGTCAGGAAGATGTTACTGGAAAAGCCTTACTAGCCCAGCCATCTGAACAAATGAATGGCCATTATCTCAGAAGCTGCAACCAAATACATTTCTAGTAGTCAGCCTCAGAGATATTCAATTCCAGATGCAGCCTCAAAGGGTTGCATTTAGCACCAGTCACATGGACATTCTCTTAACAGTGTTCACAGATCTCACCTGATACTGTCAATTACAGGACATCTTGCAACCAAGCATGTGCAATTTTAGATGAAGAAAGAAGCTGCAATTAAGTACTGATTATTCATTAGTACACCGGGCGGATGTCAGGATTTAAAAGTGGAGCTACATACTGAAATATAAGAATCCAAAATTAAGTCACGTGCATAAAAAGTAGACAGGCTTGAACAGAACTTTGTTTTTAAAAAATCTAAATATCTAATTAGTGTTGAACTGAAATACCAGCCTGTTTTGTGAACCTTTTCAACCTTGCTTTGGCAGCAAAAGCATACTTCTATAGTAATTCCACAACACTTACAAATGGCAGGGGTCTTCATGATGCCAGGTGCTACCTCTGTTGCCAAGGATTCTCTAATACTGGGGCAGGCATCCAAGTGTGCATCGTTTCCAGCGGGGTGTGCATTTCACTGAGGGGCGAATGTCTTGGCTCGACTGTGGAATAAATTCCTCTACTCTGAACAGTTTCATCCCCAAATGTCAGGAAATGGAAGAGGAAGGCAAGATGAGGCTGGGCAGATGCCAAACAAGAAACTACAAAAGACTGGAAAATCTCCCTGAGAAGTTTAGAGTAGCATTACCTTACCATCTGCTTCCAATTTACTGTTATAAAGCTGCTTAACTGAGTGACAAGTGTTTAATAATGAGAAAGCAGGAGTGAAGCAGATGTCTAATATTGGAGACACAGAGAAAGATGAGAGTGATGATCCTATCTCCAATTCTCACCTAACAGCAGCCATTCCATGAGACTAAAAGCAGAGGGAAACAGGGAAAGCAGAAGTATTCCATCAACTCTGCTAAAAAGCTAGCATGTTTTGGATTCTCCTAGCAGCTGCTGCTAGATCACTGTTATTTAAAAACCTGTCCTTCTAGGTGGTTGTTGAAAGAAATGGCATCTCAGTTTGGCCATTTCCCTCTTTCTTTTCAATACTTTTCCTTAATTTAGACTGTAAAGCAAGAGAAGGATTATCTTTTTCTTAATGACCTTAAAGCTGCTTTCAAAGCCTTCTGACTAAAGAGAAGGGTAAAACTTTTTAAAAAGGATAGAGAGAAAAATTTGTGTTGGCACCAAAAGTTTCCATCTTAAGTATGTTAGAAATACAGCAGATCAAACATTACTCCCATCAATAAATAGCACAAACAGGTAGTTCTATAAACATTAGTATTTAGTTTAATCCAAGCATCCTAAAGCAGTGTGGGAAATCTGGTGACCAAGGATTGCATCCAATCCTTGAATCCATTTTTTATAGCTCTAGAGCCTCTTTGGATTATCACTGCTGAAAACTGCTAGCACTTTTTAGGACTAAAAAACCTGGTCTGCAAAAATCCAGACAATCACTAGACAGCAGCAATGAGTTAGCAATTGGTTCAGATTTTTGCAAGCCAGATCTCATAGCCCTAAGTTTTATTGTTATTTTTAAATTACATGTATTTATTTAAATAAACAATAGAAAAATAAGAAAAGGAAAATAAATAAAAAATAAAAGCTACATGTATATGAGAATTTCATCAATATGTTTATGTGTTTACAAAGTTTTACAACAGTCATTTCAGTAAAGGATGGCCATGTTTCATTATAACTGTCCATACATAACCTATAACTTCAAGCAAGTTTTATCACCATTAAAAATCCTCCATCCCCACAATCCAATAAAAACTGGAAAGTCCTAGCTGCCCCATGAGTCCCTGCCCACTTTGCATTACTTCCTCATCCACTGTGCCCCACAAAACATTTTTAAAAACTAAGACCCTTAACAAAAGGTTACCCATTCTTCCCCCATCTAAAGAGGGTATGCAATCACAAAAGATTTCTTTACATTTAGCAAAAACAAATTCAAAGCTGAATGTGCAGAAGTGCAGAAAGAAAAACAGCAATGCTGGTGGGGCCTGACCTGGACGTAAAAACAAAGAAACAAAGATTCAAGAGCAAGTGATGGAAGTCAAGAAGAAAAAAACTAGAGCTGCTTGGCACATTCAGTATCCCCCTATTTTTGGAACAAACTTCCAAGGCCACAAGGGCTGGAAAATAATAAATTTTTAACTATAGGATGGTCAGATCAGATCTAGCCACAGAAACAAAGCTTCAGTTCAAGTGGTTGTAGGAGAGCTGTGTTAGTCCATGGCAGCAAAGAATCAGAAGTAGCACCTTTTTCAACTAACAAATTATATTAAAACACAAGCTTTCATGAGTTGTAGCTCACTTCATCAGATGCATAGAGTGGCTAAACTGAGGCAGGATTTAAATTGGGATGAAGTGGGGGGGGCAAAGGAAGGGGAAGACAGCTTAGTTATGAGATTACATGTGAGGCAGATTAAAAATACCTTATCAATTAACAATCGTAATGTGTCCAAAACCTGTTGTGTTTGCCTGAGATTGCCTGAAATTGTTTGATATATATGAGCTTAACAATTTTTCACTTGAGGTTGCTGTTAACAGTCACTCTGAGGCCTGGCATGAAGTATCCTGGGAGGCTGAAATGCTCTGATACTACTTTGTCCTTATTTTGAGTCCTGATACCAAATTTGTTCTTATGACTTTTAATACAATTAGTTATATTAAACAAATTATTAAATTGCATTCCACCCTTTGGAAAAAGTGCTACCAGACTCCTCCTATTTTTGCAATTCAAGTGATGTTCTGTAAAAAAAAAAAAAGTCTGCACATGGATTCCAGGGGTAACCTTTTTCTTTTCTTTCTGGATTGTACAAATTCAGTGTAGTGAACAGCTCAGGAGCAAGCACAAATAATTCTTAGCAGTGACTCACCAGGAAGTCTGTTCATGTTGACACCTTGGGCAGAGAGTCCTATTCCCATGTACCTTCAAACAAACAGAAGTGTATTAGTTCAGCAAATGGAGAATTGCCAAGCAAGGTAACGACCAGTGCTCTTCCCTACTTCCAGTAGAAGACTGTCATCTAATTCTCTCTAAAGTCACTAAAAAAAAAAACCTCATCCATCTAACAAGGATAACAAGAGTTGCCTATAATCAAGCCATGTTGGTGTGCTCAAACATTCTCCCTTCATTGGAAAGCTTATTATCTGATACCAAAATGTTATGTCTCACTAAAATGTAACAGAAAATATCAAAATTACTTTAGTCAACAGATGTAAAACAATGCTTGAGAATTTTCCAGATATAAAATTGGCAGTATCTTAAGCCTGCTTGTCTTTATTATGAGCCTGCTTCATTGTCCCACACCAGAATTAACATGCAGGAAAAGGAATAGTAACTCTGTTACAGCATAGCGTGTATGCCTCATCGTCAGCTGCACATGAGATATTTCCTCCTTCAGTGACTAAGTAGAGTGCATTGTCTATCAGAGATAATTCAAATGAGCTATCTTCTGTTGGCAGGAGCAGTTCCTCTTTACAACTACTTTACAAGGTTCAGGCAATTTTTAATGTTTACAAACTGTAAAGTCTTTCATATAATTGAACTTGAAGCAAAAACTATTTGATTGGAATTTTTCTGAACATTATTAAGTTTAGAGGTTTCTGCTCCCAAAAAAGCAGAAGCATTTACATGCTTCTGTACATGGCAAAACTAAAAGGCACACAAAAGGCAAAACTACTCATTCAGAACAAACAGGTTTTCACAAGAGGGTCTAATCTTCAATTTAAATATTCTGTTCTGTCTCAGAACAATGTCAGTCTGGCAAATCCTGTCTCCTTGGGCGCAGACAATGTTCTGATGTTGCTGAACTACATGCCCCAGGGAGCATGACCAAAGGTTAAGGATACTGGTAAATAAATACATACCCTGTTCTTCAGCTCACCTATTAGCAAGGCCAATATACACCAAACCTTTCTGTATGGGATGCTTAATCCAACCTATATACCCTCCAGATGTGTGAACTTCAACTCCCAGAATTCTCAGCAATTGTTTGAGAAATTCTAGAAGTTAAAGCTCATCCATCTGGAGGGTGCCCAGTTCAGAAAGACTGATTATAAAGGTATAGATTACGCAAATGTTGGCAGGACCAACACACTAAACTAAAAGAGCTGGGTGGCATACAGGCTTATTAAATTATTATTATAAATCATACATTCAGAATCACTGACTCATTAAAATTAGAATTCTAATCATATACTAAAATTTTTGGTAGCATCTAAAAGATGGGGGAAAATAGCAGTGAAGTGACATGTTCTAAAGCCAATGAACTCCAAGATTTCTAGTCCAGATTTTATTTTAAATCCTAAAAAGGAAAAATTACCCCTGAATTTCTAAAATGATCACTACATGATCTGATATGGCACACTGCATACTTTTTCACGCCTGTTTCTCTCACTAGTATGTCAACATGGTAATGAAAAATTACCTTCCATTCTATTGTTCTTGATATTTTGGAGATGAGTGAGATTTTGTGCTGCACAAACATAAAGATATGAATGTTCTTCTTTCCAGAAATATGTATCTACACCATAAAGCCCAATTATAAGCTTCCAACATTAGAAGTCATATATTTCCAAAGCTGCTGTGGAAGTCAAAATGAACACTTTTATTTCACACTTTCTTTTCATGCGCAGGTCACTGGAAGCCTACCAGAACTGTGGGTACCATGGCAGAAAAAAGCATTCCTCACTTCACGTAAGAAAAATTAAAATGCTTACCAATTGGTACTCAACACACTCCTCTACCAGAAACAGCACATATTCCATATCGCTTTATAAACAAGAGCTGGAGCAATGAATTTTATAAGTCTGAATAACTCATGTGAAAGTTTCTAAAATGTTTTAAACATTGTATGCCAAAGATGGCACAGTAGTTCAGACAGTCAGACAATTCATGTTGTTTATTGTACAGTGTATTAGCAACTTCCATTCTGTAGGACAGCAGCTCTCATAGTCTGAGATCATAATCTATGTAATGAAGTTCTACTTGTTGTTACAATTAGGCCTCGAAGCACTGAACCAAGTAACCTAACAACAAACAAGGCTATGCCATACTACCACAACTATATACAGAGAGGGAGAGAGAGATTATCAAGACCATGTCACTTACAGGAATATTATTAACTAGAGTTGTGCATGTTTAGAAAATTATGTAAAAGCACAGCACCTCTCTCTTATTCCCTAAAGCAGTCTGTCTCTATTCAGGCTCTGAATACTGAAAAACAGAAGTGGCTGTTTTAAGAACCATATTAACTTTAATGAGTTGACTCAGTAAAGCAGCCACATATTTCTTTCTAGCTCACACAGAAACCTAAGAGAAGGCACGCTACTTTAATGAATATGTTCGTGTGAGGTCCAAAACATTTCTTCTGAATCATTTTCAGGGCATGAATAGTCCTACTATGTACTAAGTTCTTCCACTTCTTATATGAAACTGAGGCAAAGCTAGACCTGCTCCATTATGAAATCAGATGAGTCTGATTAGAAAATAAATTCCTATAGTCAAATCTGTCCTGTTCTATGATGACAATTCTGCCAAAGTGCAACTCTAATATTCTGGAACAACTGTATTCAAAGGCTGATATCTGCGTGGTTGTGTAATTATATTACAGCTCCTAAGCTTCATTCCACTCCAGTAGAAGATACTACAAGAACTGATGCATCCCTGTCCTTAAAGCTAGGCACATCACAATTAAGAATCATGTATCAAAGACCATAAATATCCATTCCACACTTTAAGAACATGAGCACTAAGCTATTTTTTAAAAATGCAATCACTATTAAGTCTATTGTGCAGTCACCAAACCTGAATAAACCAGCTCCATGGTATCTTATTGGCTTATTCAAACTAGAAAGTGTGGGCATATATTAGCTTTGCTCTGGCTATCAATTACAGAAATTCAGCCTTCTAGAAACATATACATATATAGAACATATACAGACAGAACTGATATCCTTTCTCAGGAGCTCTTCCTGTATTCTTCCTTTGCTGCCTTTTCTTCATTTCACTGTTCATTTCTTGCCTTCTTTCTGACACCTTTTAGCCCCTGCTTCATGCCAAAATTTGTTGGCTTTCATTGGTCCTACATGTTATCTGACACTTGCTGGGGAACAAACCTATCATTCTGAAAGACACATAATAAGTCCACCGCCTTAATATTAAGACGACAGCTATTCAACTGCCAAAAGACTGAGATACTTTCTGCTTGCTTACCAAAAGAATAAACATAAATAGTACACAAATTCCTTTTCTAAATTAGCTCTTGTTTATGATAAATCCCAATGGGACTTTAGAATATCCTCGACTATAAATATAGGCTAAATGAATCAAGTTTTCATGCAGAGTGTTAAAAGTAAGCACCACCAGAATCACATAACAGCAAGTTTCATTTTTCACCCCATGAATATTTGCTATGTTTTATTTCATTGTTTATTTATTTTACTAGCCTTGCATGCCACTTTAATCATAACTGACTGTGCAGCTTGTGTACCTGTAAAATGAGGTTAAAATATCTACTAAAATGATAGAAGTAAGAAACAATTCATGATTTTATGCCAAGGGCAACAAACAAACTCAGTTCAAACAGAACACTACATTCCAAGACAGAGCGCTTCATAATACATCCATCCCAAAACTTGCTGGAAAAGCCAGGTTTTAATTGACTTTCTAAAGCCCAGTTAGGTTAGGGCCATATGGATCTCAGGGAAATGCTGTTTCAAAGAAGGGAGCAGCAATTGAAAAGGCCTGCCTTTGAGATCCCAGGTGACATTTCATGACTGAAGGAACCTGAGGTACCTGATCTTATCAGACGTCACCCCCAAGTGACCAGGCTTCAAGATGTTAAACTGGGCATCATTAGCATACTGTTGATACCAGACTCTATGTCAGTGTATCACTTCCCCTAGCAGTTTCATATAGATGTTAAATAGGAATAGGGAGAGCATCAAGCCCTGTGGCATCCCATAACCCAGTGGCCTAGGGCACAACTTCTCCCCTCCCACCAACATCACCAGAAACTGCCCCTTCAGGAAGGAGAACTACCACAATACAAAGGTCCCTACTTCCAATCCTCAAAAACAATCCAGAAGGATACCATGGCTGATGGCACCAAAAGCCACTAAGATGTTAAGCAAAATGAGGAGGGTCACAGTCCTTCAATCTTGATCTCGTTACAGGGCCATGAGCATAACCAACATAGTCTTGGTCCCACACTAAGGCCTGAAGCCAAATTGAAAAGGTTCCAGTTATTTAATTTTCTCCAGGGTTCTGCACAGCTGCAATATAACCATCTTAACCACATTCATCCAAAAGGAGAGGTTGGAGATAACTGTCTAACTGCAGTGTCAACTGATGGTTTCTTAAGGAGAGAGCACAATATTGCCTTCTTTAAGGCAGGTGGTACTATCCCCTCATTTAAGGATGTATTCACCACTGCCCTAACCCAGCCTTCTGTCACCTCCCTAGAGATTGCCACCAACAAGGGAGGGCAAGGATCCAGCCTACCAGTTGTTGAGCTGATGTCATACATAACCCACTTCAAGAGGAACTGGCTCAAACGTATCCCAGATAAAGCTGTGAGACAGAGACTCAGTCACCTCTACAGAACTTGCCTAGCTGGCACCAGCTCTGAGCAGATCTGAGTGATCTTATCTTCCAGGTGCCTCAAAAACTCTCATAAGGGCCTATAATGTTCTTTTAGACCATCCTTCCCTTATAGGATCTGGTTATTTTAAATAGCAATCAGACAATGCAATAACAGCAAAGAAATACTGTAATTTGCTGAATAGCATAGAATATTCTTGAATGCAAGTTCTTACCTATGTTTGGTTGGATTCACTTTTTGTTTTTTGCCAGTAGCACTCTAGGCATCTCCTTTGCCCCTTCATCTCCTGGACCTCCTCAGTGAACCAAAGGGCTCCCTTGGATTGATGAGCAGAGAGAGCTGCTCAGGTGCAATCCTAATCCTCAGGAAACTCCTCAAGTGCTCTTCGGAAACCTAGTGGTTCCATCAGACACCTGGGGCAGATCGACTGATTAGCGAATGGGATTAATAATAAAGTATGGTCTATGACTAGAGCAGTATTTCTCAACCTTGGCAACATTAAGATATGTGGACTTCATATTCCAGAATACCCCAGCAAGCATGCTGGCTGGGGAATTATGGTAGTTGAAGTCCACACGTCTTAAAGTTGCCAAGGTTGAGAAATACTGGACTAGAGAGACCCAGGTTCAAGTCCATCCACAGCCATGGTGACTCACTGGATGACTTTGGGCCAGTCGCTCTTTCTCAGCCCAACCTACCTCAAAAGATGCTGTTGTGGGGATCCCCAATGTAAGCTACCTTGAGATTCCGGAGGAAAGCCACGGTGTAAATCTAACACAACTTTCTCAATATTTTCTGATCTTATCTATCACATCACTGCTGACCATTAAGCTAACAGTATAATGCACCTATTTTCTGAAATCTACAAGATTTTAATTTAAAACTGCTTTGCAGAACAATCTGCATCACCATAGGTCATAAACCAATTATAGGTCATAAACCTAGTTAATGATAATTCCTTATAACCATTCTGGGAATTGCACAATAAATTAAATTTTCCCCCTTTGGCAGCATTTATGGCACAGAAGTACTATTGCAAATTTAGAATAGCTGCCATCATTTGCCCTTGAATTTCCAAACCTATATAGCTGTTCTGTTCGTTCATCAAAATTAACCAACCCAATCTCCTTATATAAGAAAAAGCACTGTATTCAAAACTTGGTATTTGCTGGAAGTACAACACAACAACTGGATGCCTCAATCCAATCTTTTCTTAACTGCAAATCCATTTTGGGCACCATAACATACTTTTTAAAAACTGTTACTCTATTATTCAAAATAAAAGCCTACTGTACGTCCAATTACTAGAAGCTCAATTCATTTAATTAAATTGTTCCTCATGAAGATGGGGGTTGAAGTGTCAATGTGCTCTGCGCTTCCCACATCCTCATTTAGCAAAACAGTTATAACTTTAGTGAAAAAGTTACTAAAAACAGCATATGGAAGCAATATTGAAATGTCTCTACATCAAGAAGCAGATACAGAAACACTGGATTTGGTTTTTGAGTTAGGTGGACTAAACCTAACACAAGCTTATGAAACACAGTATCAAGGCAATTAAGAGCAATTCCCTCCAGACCTAACAAAGGGGTTATAAAGATTGTTTCTCACAAACTTTACAAATCTAAATGTGCATCACTGTATTTCTTGTCCAAACACACACACACACAAAAAATGAAACTATATAGTTGCTGTAAAGCCTCTGGTGCAAATTGGCAATGCCTAAAGTAAGTAGATACTCCAAAAGTAATCAATATCCAATTTCCCACTTTAATAATTGGGGCAAAATAGCACATAAAAATACACTGTGTTCAGTGAGGAAACAGGACTGAGAAGAGGTGTTTCTAGTTTCCACACCCTTGTAGTGATTTACAATATCCTTGTGGCCATATATGTGATCTCATCATTACCATTACAACACCCAAATTATTTAAAGCAAGCCAACTTAGTTTAATTCACGTTACTAACATGTTTTTTTCTCCTTTCCCAAACTGATGAACTGTTTGTCATTTCACAGGAACAATTTCTGGCAGAACAAATTTACTTTAAAAACAATTCTGTGTTTGCCTTAGCATAGCATTCAAGCTTTTTCTCAACACCTTATCTTTCAAAGACCAAAATCAAAACCCTCCTGCTTTATATTAGTGTCCCCAGAAGAAAAGTTGATGCCGTCAAACTTCCAGAATATTAGCCATTATCTCAAAACTACTTATTGTAAGATAATATTACTAAAGATAACTAGACTATGCTAGAATAATATATTGGCACCTACAGCTGAAATATCATACTGAAAAATACCTTATGCAAGTTCTGATTTTTTTTGGATTAGCAATTCTCACCATCATGATGTTGTGGGCCATCTATATCCTTAATTATTTCATGTCACAGAATTATCCAGCTTAAGTACCTATTCCTATATATATAAGAATATGTAAAATAATTTTGTAGCCACAGAAATAATAGTTTCAGTTATGGATATTTTCCTCTACCTCCTTTGCAATAACTGCTATATTGGATTTCAGACCCAATATACCAAAAGGCTGCATAGGAATTTTAAGAGGTAAACATGGTATAATTACCCAGAACAGCCAATAAAGAAAGAGGCATAATAAGCATGCCTCATCTCAGTTTATATCACTGGCTTGGTATTTGATAGCAGGAAGTCAAACCAGTTTTTAAACATTTGAACCGGAGTTGAACTTGATTCATAGCTGCATCCTCCCCAATGAACCAGAATCCAAACCCAAAAACATGATCTCAGCTCCCAGTTTTGAAATGCAGCTGGTGCAATACCTTACTACAAAGACATGAAGCACTCATCCTTTCTCCAAAGCCACATTTCACATTCCTACCAAATTTAAGTAGAGATGGTAAAGTCAGCTCCAGCTCTCCTAAAAAACAACAAACATAGTAACCAGAATACATTAAGCCACATACTTACCCATCTCTACCTTTACTGACTATCTTCACTTCAAAATAATAAATTCCACAGGCTGCAGGGATGGGGTGGGTAGCCCTGACTGAAGCAGCATCCTTGTGATTTTTCCCATGTCCTGTTTTAAACAAATACAGAGGAGAAGGAGGAGGGAGACAGGTCACAAACCTATTTAATTCCTCACTGAAAACTATCATGCAGCAGGGATTTTCAAAAGCCAGCCACCATGCTGCATGGAAGCCCCCAACCGAATACATTCCCTTACAGATAAAATGGCAGGCGCTCCACCACACTAGCGCAAAGGACAGGGCAACTGAAACACACAGCTGTTATTCTTCTGTTGTTGTCCAAGAGAGACCCACAGTCCATCCTTTGAGGTAAAGTATACTTTGGGGCAGTGTTTCTCAGCCTCGGCAACTTGAAGATGGGTCGATTTTGAATCCCAGAATTTCCCAGCCAGAATTCTGGGATGTGAAGTCCACGTATCTTCAAGCTGCCGAGGCTGAGAAACACTGCTTTGGGATAATCATACCATTCCTCCCCATTCCAGGGGACAAGCGAAGGGGGTGCTCTGCAAACCCCAAAGCAGCTCCCAGTCCTTGGCAAAAGGCTGACTGCTCGCCCTGGCAGCTGTAAGGAGTGGGGCAAAGGCCCTCTCTGCCTACCAAGGAGAGGCCCTAGAGAGCAAGCAGAGAGGACCCCCGACCTGCCCTGCCCATCGGAGAGCCAGAAGTCCACTCTCGCGCTCCTCCTCTCAAGCTTGACCCTCAGGGTTTCTCTAGCCCAGCGGGACCCCCTAAGAGCCCGATACCAAGGTCCTGCCCACAGCCCCTTTCAGCCCCTTCTGAGGCGGCAAGGCCTTCGCCCCTCCTCCGGGAAGAGCTCTCCACTCCCCTCGCCAGCCCCTCAGCCGAAGGCCCCGCCGTCCTCACAGCAGAAACAGGGCCTCGCCCCCCGCGGCCTCTGCCTCCCCCACCTTTGTAGTGGACGCGCAGGTTGCCCTGGGAGAGGCCGATGTAGTTATACTTGTCCTTGGGGCTCCAGGCACGCGGCAGCGGCGTCTCGGCTGGGTTGACGGCCGGGTAGAGTCGGCGGAGACGCTGGCTCAGCTCCTGCTCCTCGGGCGGCGGCGGCGGCGGCGGAGGAGGAGGCGGCGGGGGCAGCGCCGAGTCTCCCCCAGGTAAGCTCGCTGCACCCGCATCCGCCATCTTGGATCCACTATTGTGTCAGCAGGAGGGGAGCGGGCTCCGTTTCCTTGGCTGTCCAATGGGAGGCGGGCTCGGCCACAATGGAGCCGCGCAGCATGACGGGAAAACGAGTCCAGCTCCCCCTAGGGCTGGGTTGGCCCAAGGAACTGAAGACTACAGGTTCCAAGAAAGACCGCAAGGGAGGGCCCGCCCACTCAGTTGCGTCGCAAAGCTCTTCGGGATAGTGAGTCAGACCGTGCATAGAAAGGGTAGGGTAGGTGTTTTAAAGTCAGAGCTGAATGCTCGGCTTGCATTTATTAGCAAGTCGCGCGGCATAAAATGATGCACGGATGCAATATTGTATCTGTGTGAAGAGGAAGCGGGTCGAAGGGCATCCACTGAGCTCTGACTAAAAAACCATGGCACAATTAGCTGCAAATCAGCTGTGACAAGGGAAATAGGGGAACCAAGATAGCGAGATCAGTCCATAAAATCCCGAGGACAACATTACCCAACCCTGTCACCCGTGTCGCGTGTAACATCAACATTCCTCCCAAAGCACATGCTTTCTGTAAAGGGCCTATTTAAAATGCAGGATCGCAGTCGCTTCCTCCTTGCGACGCTGCATTTCCCGAAGCATGAATAAAAGAAAGGAAATATTTCGGGGTTCGATCATAGGGTGCACCACAAGCGGCTCTTAAATTTGCGGGCATAGCCTATAAGCCGCCCCCGAGGTGCTCGCCGGTCGGCCAGTTAAGGCTCTTACTCCCCGTTTCCCCCCGGATAAAAGCTAAGCATCCCTCGCGCAAGCGTCCTAAACCAAGCGCCCACCCTCGGGCCAAGCACACCGCCCTCCTCCGAGGTTGCCCGGGCTCTCGCGGAAAGAGCCGCTGGCGAGCGCTGCCCCCTGCGCTACCGCGGGTTGCCTCTAGGGGGCGCGGCAGCCTCTGTCAGCCGGCAAGGGGCGGGGCCTGTTGCCGTGGCGACCCTCAGTCAACAGCCTCCGCAGCCGTTCCGCTCTCCGGGGCCATGGAGGCCCGCCCCTCCGTTTCTTTCGGGTGAGTCTGCTTCGGAGGGAGCTTGAAGTGGGGGGAGAGGCTGGGAAAGAGCCTCGTCCAGGTTGGAGACAGGGAGCTGTCACGCCGGGCTCGGGGAAACGAAGGGGAGGCGCGTTGCTTTTGCGCCTGGCTGGTTTCTTCAGCGGTCCTGCGGGAGGTGGCTTTCAGCCTTGTCGCGCTATTGGGCCCCCTGCCCGATTACGAGGCTCAACTACAACTCCCAGCAGTCCCAGTCTGCAAGGTGAAAGGTGAAGGACAGGATGCCCTTTATCTCCACCCCCTCCAGAACGAGTTATGCGGAAGCCCCTCCTTAACGTGTCTGCAGGGGAGGCTGCTGTGGGCGGGGCCACGGCACGTATCTTGTTCCTTACTTGCTGGCGGAAAACAGGTCGCCCCGCCCACCTTGTGGGCCTGTTTTCTGCGGGTAATTCAGATTACAAATCGAAAGTGGGCTGGCTGCAACCTGCTGCCGCTGACCTGCTTTTTGTTAGCGAGGCACAATTAAAGAGACCTTGTTTATTCATTTTGCCATGCTCACTTGGATTTTTTTTAAAACATTGGGTCGGGGGAAAATGAACTTATGTCTCTCTCTAATTATTCTAGGTCTGGTTGTCAGGAAGCTGATAAAAGGTAACTGCAATGAAGAGAAAAATAATTCTGTGTTTAGACTTTAATTTCCATCATCTTCAACGGCATAAACATTGACTGGGTGGGTTGGTTGTCGCCAAACTCATTTGGAGATACAGATGTACAAAAGAAATTTTAGGAATAGATTTGCAAGTTCTGTTAAAACAGTTTTTGCTGTGATATGAATGGACCATTGAATTGAGCCTGCCAACATCTGTTCTACTGGGTAAAAAATCTGCACTTTTTTCTGGTAAAAGATCTAAAAACAACATTTTCCCACAGAAATGTGGAAATATTTCTGGAAATATTTTCTGGATATATTTGCATTCTTCAAAATCCTATGTTCAGGTCAGTATAGAAAAAAGAGAAAACTTATATTAAGGAAATTTATATTCTCACATAAAAAAAAACTGCCTTGGACAAATATGTGTAAAAACGATTGCATTAAAGGAAGTTTATGTTGCTAGCCCCAGAAAACTTATATGCATCGGCTCTGCCTGTTAGAGAAAGTTGGAAATTACAGAGATATAAATATGGTTAAAAATGAACTGTAAAAAAAACCCTCCAGTCTGACCACAATGTTGCTTTATTTAAAGAGGTAGTAAAATGGATCTCACTTATAGTAGAGAGCATGTTGGTGGAAGCTGATTTGAATTCATGTTTGAGAGCATAGGAAACCTGGTTATTTTATGAGAGATTTTGGCCACAACTTCCTGCTACAATGGGGTATTTATTTATTTATTTATTTATTTATTTATTTATTTCAGCTCATTAGCCTTAGAGATGTTTTTCTGTAGCATATGCAGCCAAGGTCTCTGCACCAAACCCTGCATGCAAAATAAGGACAAGACCTAATGTTACAAAAATCCAATCCTTGTCCTGGCTTGGCTTCTTAACAAACTGTATCTGAACCCCTCCAGGCTTTATTACAGGCTACCCTAACCTGCCACAATTCAGATATTTTGAAACCACACAAAATATTGGGAAAGTGCCAGTTTGGGGAAGGCATCTCTGAGATTTGACACTAAAGGGACATTACTGGTATAGCAACTAAAAGCTACTGTACTTCATTTGCTTGCTTTGAAAAACCAGCGGTCACCTCTGCACATGGCCCTTATGCCACTCCCAACTCTGTGCCCCGGTGACTGCATGCCATCATCTCTTTCCAGCCACTGCGTCAAATTATTTCTAGGTTGCAATCTATTAGAAACCACAGTGAGTCCAGTTTCCTACATGAAACACTGGAAATGTGCAGTGTTTGGGCACAGGCTGTTTTTCTGTTGGTGGAAATTTCCGTCTGCCATCCTATGGGCTCTCCCCACTGAGAGTCAGCTGTAGTGGCTTCATGCTGAGGCAGTAACATTTGACTGGTTAGCTGACATGAGGTCACAGTCCTAGAGATGGCACTGTGGCATCTTTTCTTCATCATAGTGACAGTGGTAGTTCCGTCCCCCACATCAACCAATAAACAAACATAGGTAGGGAAATGAATTGGCTCAGTGCCATTTTTATCTACTGTCCCGTTGGTCAGGATTCTCAAAGTTAGAAGTCAGCTGCAGTGGGGACAAACTTGGATCGGTTTGAAGTTGTTTGTGAGACTTCAGGGAGTGAAAATTATGGTGTGAAGAGAATGATTGGAGAGTCTCTGCAACTCAGCCTCCCTTTGATCGTAAGTGCTCCAACTCCTGTTTCTTGCTGTACTACAGGGTCTCATTTCAGCAGTTCTCTCAGGGTGTAACTGGTGAAAACTTGCCTGTTGTGAAAGTTGCATCTTGGAAAAAACACAAATATGTGGTGAGCACAGCTACTTCATCCAGCCGATCTTTTCACTTTCGCATAGGCAGAGGCCAGTATTTCTTACAACATCTATTTGCATAGTTCTGTTGCCTAAGCTAGCAAGTTTTAGTCTCAGATACTCAGGTCTTGGAAACTTCCTGGAAATCTTGAATATCATGGGCCTTACTTCCTGATAGACCAGGACAAGCACTACATGACAAAAATGAGGATGCCCTTTTCAGAAGCAGATGCTGGGAGGAGTAGCAAATGTTGGAGTAGACCATTCTATCCAGCTCTTCCTTAAATGAATCTGTCGTCTTGGGGTACAATGGAAAATAGTGTCCAATTGCCAATGTTGAAGAAAGATTTTGCCAGTGGGAGAGGAAAAGATGTCATCTTTTCCTTTGCTTCAAGCAGCAAATCTCTTGGGGAAATCCAGTGGAGGACAACCTTCTGTTTGAAGGACTATCCCATCCAAGTCTACTTTAAGGAGAAATAATTAAAGAGAGAGTGGGATGCCATGAATTTCCTCATCCCCATTACCAACAGTGGGACATCAAATTTGCTAAGCCGCAATTCACTTTATGCTTCCCCACAAGAATGAAATACATTGTATTTGGATTTTAAACTCTTGTCATTGTTCCTAAAGTTACATCTATAGATATAAATGAGGAAATAATCTGTTTTATATAAAGATGATTGATTGATTTTCATCCTCCCAGGTCCAATCTAGTAGCAGCCACTTGTCCACCTGGCCAGCCTATGAACCAGGGCAAGGGATCCTACGGAACCGGAAACCATGCACTCTCCCTGATTGGCAAAGGTAGGTATGGATGTGATATTGAGATCTCAGGCTTCAGAACTTGTAAAAATATCAGGGAATTTTGGGTTCAAGTATACACAGTGATACAAGGAATTTTAAAGACTAACATTCAACTGAAACCAGAACCTTTTTTGGTGGGACTAACGGATAGACAATTAGAAAAAAGCTATAGAACATTGTTTTTGTATATGATAACTGCTGCAAGACTATTACATGCACAAAAATGGAAAGTCTCTGAAATATCCACAATGGAGGAATGGTTGGTGAAGATGACAGAATTAGCAGAAATGGCAAAATTGGCTTGTCTGATTAGAGAAAGGACAATAACTTCATTTATTAGCAACTGGAAGCCCCTTATGGACTTTTTGTCAAAGAAAGAAAAAAATGAACTTGTGATTTATGGGATTGACAATTAGAAAGGATAGACTATGGAAAGAGGGAAATTATGATGTAATCATAGAGAGAAAATATGAATGCATTTATAACCACCATTAAGAATATCAGAAGCTGCTTCTTTATCACCTTTTCTTTTCTTTCTATTTCCTTTCTTTTTCTTATTTTCTTTATCTATTCACAATTTTTCTTTATTTTCTCTAAAATTTCTGTTGCTTTTGTTAAAAACTTCTTTAATAATGATTGTAAAAAAAGAGATCTCAAGCTTCAAACTGACATTTGCTAGGTGAGGAATGCGGCTTGATGTCCCCCATCTGTTCGGAAGAGGTAGATTCTCTGTGAATGGGAGA